TAGCCTTGTAGGATCTTTCAAGTGCTGGTGCATGAGAGAAAATCAACAATATGTCTGGGTCCCCAAACCAAGTAGTTTATCTGAGCCATTCATGGAGATTACCTCCACTGTATTTTATCCTCCAGGAAAATACACCATCCTTGATCAGTCCTAGGGGGCTTTCAGAAGTGGTTTGAACCCTTGGCAGGGCCTGACCCATGAGAACCTTGTCTATTCCTCATGCCTTAAAATATACCTTCTTGAATGCTCTGCTCTCCTCTGATTGAGGGAGCAAGAAAGATGAGGAAGGGAAGAGGAGGTGGGCACATGTCAACATTGAGGTGCACCTCTGCCATCCTGGCAGCCCCTGACAACTCATCAGGGGGCGGAGGTCTAGGCCACACAATCCTAGGTGCACTGCATCTTCCCTGGGTCTTTAAAGAAGTTGGTTTTACCCATGGGCTCACACATGCTAGGCAAGCACTCTGCCACTGAGCTACATCCCCAGCGCAATCACACTGCTTTAAGGGTATAGTAACCTCTGCTATAAGACTTCCTTCTAATTAAAAAATCTTTCTCCTTTATAAACACAATTAAATCAGCATTAGAGTCATAGTCCTAAAATAATGAATTTCATAAAAAACCACACGTACGTAAGGCCGGGCATAGTGATGCATCCTGTTATCCCAGCTGCTTGGGATGTGGAGACTTGGAGGATCACAGTTCAAGGCCAGCCCAGGCAAAAGTGAGAGAAACCTCATTTTAATCAACAAGCTGGTATGGTGGTGCAAGCCTGTGATTCCTGACAAATAGGAGGCCATAAGGTGGAGGATTGCTGGCCTTGGGCAAAACTGGGAGACGCCACCTGAAAAATAACTAAAGCAAAAAGTGGCGGGGAGTGTGCCTCAAGTGGTAGAGCACCTGTTTAGCAAGCGCAAAACCCTACGTTTGAACCTCAGTACCATCAAAAAAAAAAGCAAGAAAGACTGAAACAAAACAACAAAAAAATAGAACTCTTCATTTCATTGGATATGAAGAAAGGATCAGAAGGTTCTTCATCTGCAAGTGGCAGAACAGTTGTGGAATGACAAAGGTAATATCCCTCCTTCAGTGTAAGTGCAATGACCCACACAGAGACCACTCCCAAGAAAGTTTCAAAATTGCTCCCACACAAAAACCTCACTATGATTATAGCTATAAATAAAAGATTTCAACATGATCCAATTCCCCTTAATCAAGGAAAAAGTAGCTTCAGTTGTAGTTTTCCAAAAATGGAAATGAAAGGCAACTTTGAGGTGCTGAAGTTGTGTCTAAGCTGTGCCCTCCCGAGATGAAGTGACAGTTGGCAAGACCACTGCCCACTTGGCTTTGGCCTGGATTTCGGGGCCCTTCCAGGGCTCTGCTCTTCAGGGTCCCTGTTTGCCTCAGTTGCAGATTATGAGTTAGTAGCTCGGCTGCATCAGAATGTTCCCAAAGAGAAAGGCACCCCTGAGCTTTTTTTTTGTCACATGGCTGTCATGATGCACGATGTACAGAGTAATGCAATGAATCACCTCACTAGGATGATTCAGCACCTGCAAGGAGGCAGGTGACAGGAACGGTCACAGCTCAGCCTGCTCTGGACAAAGGGCAAGGAGAAGGCCCAGCACAGCTGAGGGCCAGTAGCATTCAGTGCAAGAGGCTCTGCAGCCGTGGTCATTTGGACAGTTTTCCCACTACTGCCCTTGGCACAGCTCAGCTCAAGGTGTCCCCTCTGGAAAAGCAGCTTTCACCCAGGCCAGAGGAGGAAGGAGAAAGGATGTCCTGTGGCTCTTTAAACCGCTGGGTCGCTTTTAGAACACTCAAGTGTTTGCTGATAATCACTGTGTCCAGCCAACAGAGAAACGTGAAAATCTCACTGAACTGAACCGTGACTACCACATTTTTACAAGACTGGGCAATGAGCAGCTTCTCCTCTCCTGTGACTTTAGGTTTGTTTGTTTGATACAGGTTTTGTTTTTGTAGTAGTAGAGTTTGAACTCAGGGTCATGTGCTTGCTAGGCAGGTGGTCTACCCCTTAAGCCACACCATCAGCCCTTTATGCTTTTGTTATTTTTCAGATAGGGTCCTGTGCTTTTTTCTGGGGCTGGCTTCAGACTGTGATCCTCCTACCTGTCTCCTGAGTAGCTGGAATTAAGACATGCATGCATCACTATGCCCAGCTTACTTGATGAGATGGAATCTTCTTAACCTTTTTCCTAGGCTGGCCTTGAACCATGATACTCCCAATTTCTACCTCCCAAAGAGCTGACATTACAGGCATGAGCCACTGTACCTGGCCTATTGTAAGGATGACTTTGAAGCAGGGTTATTACTATTATACCTGGTTATCATTTACACAAGGCAGAGCAACATGAACTTCTAAACCTTCTTCTTTTCTATCTCTTTCTAGCACCTACTGCTTCTTATACTTTGGTTCCTGATAGGAAAGAAAAGAAGAAATCCCAATTTTTCTTTGGAAAACAGCAGTTGTCATAAATGCTGGATGATGATAGTTGGAAGTGACTGGAACAAAGCTCAGACATCATTAAGATGTAGCTGTTCACCCCTTCCCACTGTCCCTTTCTTCGGCCAAGAAGTCATATTACTTTTGTGTGACAACCCATACGCATGCCCTGTAGATGCTAAAATTGGGCCCTAGCAGCAGGTTGGATTGATCAGGAATAGGATGATGTCCCATGACCACAGTAAAGAAGAGACAGTCCTACTAACAACCAGGCATCTACCCTTCCATGGAGGTTCTGCAACACAGAGTCAGCATTACTTCAACTCTTCCTCTCCCACATGGGAAGGGGACCTGGCGGGAAGTTGCCCACCCCACCACATTCATCCCTCACCTGCCCCCCCACCTCTGTCTTGACTTAAGTTTACCATAGCAGTTATCTTTAGACTTCACTGGCTCTCGAGGTTTGACTGGAGTCTCACCTAACAAAGTCATGGGAAGGGCACTGGCTGGAACTTAAGAAGGCAGCCCCTATTTCACACAGAGATCCTCTTTGCATTTGATTTGCTATTGTGAAATGAAATTAGCACTCATACTGGAAAATCTTTATTGAATTAAAGGGGCCTTTCACCCTTAGATTATAAGGCCGGAACTACCTGATGTACAGATGCACTCCCACCCCATCCAGTGCCAAGCATACACTGGTATTCAAAATAAACCTGGTTGACAATTATGATATTCATTCTCAATGTGCAAGCAAATGCTCCCAGACAGTGGCAGGTGACCCTGAAGACCAAGAGGGTCACTGAAATGCTCTAGTGAAAAGGTTTGAAGATTACTTACATCAATAAGCTCAATTTTTTATTCATAAAAAAGAATAATATGTCATCCTCATAAAATATAAGCCTCACGTTGCACTCCTGAGCTCAAACTTTTCATTTGCTCCCTTGCCATCTACCAAATTCTATCTGTCTTGGCCTAACTTTCACAGCCATGCGTATTAAGGTCACAACTCCCCAAACCAGATTCACCCACACCTAATGCACTCATAAAAGGTACATGAACCAGGCCTTCCATAAGTCACAATTCCCTTAAATCTTCTCTCAAGTTATCCTTTCCACCTGAAACCTCTCCATCTTCACAGGTCAAAATTACACCAGGCTGTGATGGTTAATTTATGTGCCAACTTGACTGGGTCACAGGGTGCCCAGCTCTTTGGCTAAACATTATTTCTGGGTAGTCTGTGAGGGTGTTTCCAGATGAGTTTAGCATTTGAATGATGGGCTGAGTGAAGTACACTGGGCTTCCCAGTGTGAGTGAGCATCATCCAACACACTGAAGGCCTGAACAGAACATAAGGGATTCTGTCCTTTTCTGTTGCCTGAATGTTCGAGCAGAGACATTGCTTGGTCTTCTCCTGCCTTTGAACCTCAGTTCAAAGATCTACACCACCAGGTCCCTGGGTTCTCAGCCCTTCAGACTCAGACTAAATTACACCACTGATTTTCCTGAAGCTCCAGCTTACAGATGGCAGATTCTAAAACTTCTCAATCTCTATAATTGCATGAGTCAAATTCTCATGATAAATCTCTTTCTATATAAGTATGTATTCTGTTGGCTTTGTTTCTCTAGAGATCCTTAAGCAATACACAAGCCCAGGTTAAGGACCACTTTGTTGGGCCAGGCAGTCTGCCACAGGTCCCCAGCATCTTTGCAAATCATTGCTCAGTGTGCAAAACTGCAGGGCCTAACCAGTTCTTGAATCTGAGCTATGCTGGGACCATCACAAAGGCATGAGGTAGGTAAAGGAGACCACAGCATGACTGGGGCAACTGCACAAAGGATGAGCTTATTTGCTGCTTACTACCCAGGATGCTCTGCCCTTGGCCTGGGGTCCGATGTACAATCTACCAGCTGGGCCCATTACATTGTTCATGGGACGCATTGCCACCTAGCTGGTGCTCTGCTGTGTACTGTGCTCTGCTCTGTGCAACTGTCTTGCTTTGGTCCTTGTTTAATTTTGGCTCTTATGGAGCTATGCCAGGATGGCCAGCTTGCTCACTGAGTTCTCTCCTCTAGAGTACACTTCCCCCTTGCCATCATCTACAAGGTTGGGATCTTTCCTGACAATCTTCAAGAAACAATTTCTGACCTTTCCAAGAGGCTATGAATTAATTGCCAGAATGCTAAGCCCTATAGCTCTCTAACCTTATGTTATGATAACCTGGGTAGTCCTTCCTGTAAGACCTTTAATTCCCTGAAGGTCAGTCAGTTGGTAACACAGGATGCCTTCAGTGCCTATTTGCTGATTAATGAATGGGTAAGTAGGGGAGCGAGAAAAGCCCCCAAAACACTCCTTAGAACTTTCTAACTATTCAGTCACCTCTATTTTTTACCATAGTACTTATGATCCACTGCATGGTGCCTTGTGTAACTCAATCATACCAAGTCTCTTCACAACAAAACAAAAGCTTCTGAAACAGAATTAGATCAGCGGTCTAGGGAAGTGATTAAGTGTACTTTTAGGGTTCAGACTTACGGAAGTCCCTGCACTCTGCCACACATGAGATATCTGGTAGCCCACCAGTTCCCCATACTGCCTCTTGATTGGAGGCTTCATCCATCTGATGTCCACATTATTACTTGATTCATTCAGAAACACGGTGACGTTTAAAGGTGCTACTGATGGAGCTACAAAAGAAAAAGGAGGGAAAGTTGAGGAGCCTGAAGGAAAAGCATGTATAGATTCATTCTCTTCTTGACTTTCCAGTGTTTGATTTTCAAATGTTCCATGAAAAGCACACAAATGAGTAGACTAATAATAGTAAATTTCAACCCTCTTTCATTAAGGACCAATGAGATATCATATGAGTTTTAACAAGTAAGGCCTATAGACTACTGAAGCCTCAAGATAGACTTGTTAAGTAGAAAACATCGCAAGCACCCAAGGTGGACTAACAAAGAGGACGGCAAAGAAGGAGGTGGCTGGTGCACATGGGTTCTGAGGAAGCAAAGCAGACAGTTTGAAGAGTGTCTCTAATGGACACCTGAGAGGTGCAAAGCAACAAGGCTGACTGGAAATCTGTTCTGAGGCATTTAGAGTGGATAAGGCAGGGAACACTGTTGAGCTCAGAAAGAAGCTGCCATTCTGAAATCCAGAGGCAGGTTACTGGTCTGACTTGAGAGAATCCATCAATAAATTTAAAATGTATATCTAGTCATCCCTCATGATCTCCAAGGGACTGGTTCCAGGACCCCACAGACACCAAAATTCATGGATGCGTAAGTCCTGTGTATAAAATGATGCAGTGTTTGCACAGAAGGCACCCACATCCTACCACATGCTTTAAATCATTTCTGGACTACTTGTAATATTCAACACAACATAAATGCTATGTAAATAGTTGCTATACTACATGATAAGAAAAAATTGGTACTTGTTCATACAGGTGGAATGCTTTTTCTTTTTTTTTTAACATTCTTATTAGTTTATAATGGTTGTACACGTGGTTTCATTGTGACTTTTCCATATATCCATATAATGTACCCCAGTTTGGTTCATCTCCTCCATTGTTCTCTCTCTTCCCCCTTCTCCTTCTTTTTTTTTTTTTTTTTTGTCTTTTCTTTTTTGGTGCTGGGATCGAACCCAGGGCCTCACACATGCTAGGCAAGCGCTACACCACCGAGCTACATCCCAGCCCCCCTTCTCCTTCTTAAAATGAATTCTACAGGTTTCAATGTTCCATATTCATACATGCATAGAAAGTGCCTCAGCCATATTCACTCTCCTTTACCCCTCTTCATTTACCCTCCCCCTCCTGCTCCCTTTTCTTCTTTCTCCTTAACATGACTTGTTCTACATTCCTGACCTTTGCTGTTTAAGTGTCTGTTCATTGCTCAGTGGGATTTTACCTTGGTGCTTTATTTGTAAATATATTGTACTTTAATCAGTCTAACCCCCTCTGTTATTCTTCCTTACTCTTTTTCCCCACCCCATATTATTCAACAGTTTTCAGTGCGTTTCATTTTTGCTTATTCCTATACAGATGTGCTGTATTTCAATATTACTCACTCTTTATCATTCTCTTTCCTCCCCTAGTCTAACTGTCCCACTGTTGGAAACGTGTAATCTATGATAATAATTGTATTTGTAATTGGATCTATCTTCCACATATGACAGAAAGCATTCGGCCTTGTCTTTCTGAACCTGGCTTATTGCACTTAACATGATGTTCTTCAGTTTCATCCATCAAATATTTTTGATCCTTAGTTAGCTGAATCTGAGGATGCTGAAACCACACATATGGAGGGCCAAATGTATGTGTGTTTTGTGTGTGTATGTGTGTGTGTGTGTGTAGAATAATTTAGGAAACAAGTCAAAATCATTACTACAGATTTTTGGGAATGAGAACCTTGGCTATATGTTCTAAAATTGAAAATACTCTGTTTTTTTTTTTCTTTTCACTAAACTTTTTTTTGGTGGTACTGGGATTTGAACTCAGGACCTTGTGCTTGCTAGGCAGGCACTCTACCACTTGAGCCACTCCTCTAGCCCTTTTTTTTTTTTTTTGGTGGTACTGGGATTTGAACTCAGGGTCTCATGCTTGCTAGGCAGCTGCTCTTCTCACTTGAGCCTCTCTACCAGCCAAAAAATTACTATGTTCTTTGGTCAAATATTTTATTTCCAAGAAATAAATCTATAAATGGAGTTATATTCATTGTGGCACAGTAATGACAAAAAGAAACACTGTAATGCTTGCTTAACAATTGTAATACAAGTTTTAATACATTTTCACTGTAATACTACCCAGCCTCTAAAAAGAATTAGGTGTATTATGTGTATTGGATGAAAATATCCAGTGGGGAAGGGAAAATTGCGTAAAATATATATTAATCTGTATTAGAAATAAAAATAAGTATATACATGTTTTATATACAGAAGAAATAAAAGCAATAGAATATGTACACCAAACTGTTGCCTATAGTTGTATAAATATTGAATTCTATGTTTTTGGAATGTCTGAAGGGAAAACAAAAAAAAATTACAACCTTCTTAATTGCTGCTGTCTTCAGAAACAGTTTTCATGGGATTAAAAGAAAGTTTCAAGCTACTTCAGAGATTGGGAGGATTGTGGTTAGTGGGTGGTAGGGGAGAAGTTCATGAGACCCCATCTCAACCAACAGCTAGGCACAATGGTGCACACTTTGGGGGGAGCACGAATAGGAGAATGGTGATCCATGTGCATAAAGTGAGACCCTATCTCAAAAATAACCAGAGCAAAAAGGGATGGAGGGGAGGCTCAAGTGATAGAACACCTGACTAACAAGCATGAAGCAGCTTGAGTTCAAATTCCAGTACTGCCCCCCCGCCAAAAAAAATGTTCAAAATCAAAAATAGTATTAAGGGGAGAAGCAGGGACAAAACACACATTACATACAGAGGAACAAAAGTAGGTTGAACATGGATTTTATGCTGGAAACAATGGGAGGAAGAAGATAGTGGAGCAACACTCTTAACACACTGCAAGTTAAAAACAACTGTGAACCTAGAATTCTACATCTAGCAAAAATATCTTTCAAAAGTAAAGGCCATGCCAGTTGTGGTGGCACATGTATTGATCCCAGCACTCAGAAGGCAGATGCAGGAGGATTGGGAGTTCCAGGCCAACCTGGGTTACATAGCAAGACCCTGTCTTAAATAACAACAACAACAATAAAAAACCCAACAACAAAGTAACTAAGTAAAGGCCAGGTAGCCTGTAGTGGTGGTGTGCACCTGTAATCTCAGCTACTATGAAGGTAGAGATAAGAGGATTGTGACCCAAGGCCTGCTCAAGCAAAAGTGTGAGACCCTATCTGAAAAACAAACTGAAAGAAAAAGGCAAAAAGACTGGGGGTGTGGCTCAAGTGGCAATGGAGTGCTTGTCTAGTAAATGTGAGGCCCTATGCTCAATCCCCAGTACCATCATTAAATAAGTAAGTAAATAAATGAATGCCAGGTGAAGTTGTAGCTCAGCATAGAGTTTATGCTTTGTATGCTCAAGACCTTGGGTCCAATCCCACACATGCATGCATGCAAACACATACACATAGGCTAAAAAAGGTAAGATAAATACTTACCTCAAAGGAAAAACTAATTCCTCCCCCCCCACACACACAAAAGTTCAATTTCCCACCAGCACTATAAGAAACGATGAAGAGTGCTTTAGGAAGAAGAAAAATGAGACCAGGTGAAATATTGTTCTACACTAAAAAAATGAAGACTACCTGAGAACTACATGGGTAAATATATGGATTTTGTTTATTATGTAAATCTCTCTAAAAGATTATTGACTGAATGAAAGTAACAACAATATAATATGAACTTCTAACACACTTAAAAAGAAAATGCATGCCATCAATTGCAAAACTACTAGAAGGGGAAAAATGGAATTATATAGTTTTGTAGGGTTCCTATTTATGAGGTGGCATAAACCACTTGTAGGTAAATTGTGATATGTTAAACAGTATGCTATAAATCCAAAAGTAACCACAAAAAGAACAGGAAAAGAATTATGGCTAGTAAGCCAATAAAGGAGATAGACTAACCCAAAAGAAGGAAGGAAAGAAGAACAAATTAGTCAGAATAAATAGAAAATATGAAGGATGCAAAATCACTCATTTGTATGACAACATTGCACTTTAATGGACTAAACAGTCCAATTTAAAGGCAGAGATTGTAAATGGATTGAAAGGCAATGTGGGAACCGGAGGTACAGCTCAGTGGTAGAGTGTGTTGTCAGCATGAGGCCTTGGGTTCCATCCCTAGCACCCTCCCCCGCAAAAAATGCGTACTCTCTCTCTATGTGTGTGTGTTCGTGTGTGTGTGTGTGTATAAGCTATGCCACTTAAATGAAAAACTCATTGTCACAACAAGCATACAAAAAATCAATAGAATACAGATTTGACCTAGTTGGTGTTTATGGAACACACCATCCAAGAGTCAAGATGACTACACTCTGAGACATAAAACAAGCCTCAATACATTTATTTATTTTATTGCTAGTTTTTTTTTTTTGGAGGTACTGGGATTTTTTTTACAGCTTCCATTATTCTATTTTCATATATGAATACAAAATACATCCGTTATATTTGCCTTCATTCACTCTTGCCTTTCGTTCTCCCACTCCAATGGTACCCTCTCCCCAGAAAAGACCAGTTTTACCTTCTGTCCTTCATTTTTTAAAAGTGGACATTGATAGTCCAGGGGGTTTTGCCTTGGCATGTTAGACATGTACATATCGTGCTTTAACCTGATTAAGCCCTCCCCTCCGTTACTTACTCTCTAAATATCATAGAATTTCTCTTTTCTTTTTGCGGGACTGAGGTTTGAGCTCGAGATTTGGGGCTTTAGCAGGTAGTCTGCCTCCTGAGTCATACCTCCAGCCCCAGGGCCGCACACTTGCTAGGCAGGCACTCTACCACTCAAGCCAACCTCTAGCCTGTTGCAATACGTTTAGGAGACAAATCGTACAAATTACGTTGTCTGGCCTCATTCAAACTAAACGAGAAATCAATGTTACAAAGATCTCTGCAAAAATCTAAAATATTTATAACAGGTCAAACAGGAAGTCAAAGCAGAAATTTTGTAGAAAGTCTTTTGAACCGAATGAAGGTGGACCCAAAATTGTTTTTTGAAGACTTGTCTTTTTCATTTGAAGACAGAAAATATTTTACAATTTTGGTACTAGGACTTATGTAAGAATCAAGCCCTCAAATTGTGTGTGTGTGTGTGTGTGTGTGTGTATGTGTGTGTGTGGTGTGTATAGGTGTGTATGGGTGTACGGATGTGTGGAGTGTTTATGTGTATGGGTGAGTGTATGGTTTGTGGTGTGTGTGTGTGTGTGTGTGTGTGTGGTGTGTGTTTATAAGTGCGGTGCTGGGGACTGAACCCACTCAAGCCCATTACCACTGAGCTACACCCTAAGCCCTTAATCCGTCAGTGTATGTGAAGTTGGAGCTCTGACTATAAGTAAGGGCAGAAAAGAGCATGTATAAGTGAGTGCCCCAAACTGGGGATAATGAAAACTGAAGCCCAAAGTTTGAGAACTGCAACAGACAGTTCAATATTCACAGAAGAGGATTTAAAAAATCTGTGAAAGAAAAGGCAACATATAAAAAAGTCTTTAGAGTTTAAACGAATAAACAAAATTTGCTTTGGGCTGGTAGAGTGGTCCAAGTAGTAGAGTGCCTGCCTAGCAAGCATGGGGCCCTGAGTTCAAACCCCAGTACCACTAAAAACATAAAAATAAAAAACTAAAATAGAGATGACAGTACCTACTGCATAGGGCTGCCATGGAAAGCACCTATAAGGTCTCTGGTGTGTAATGAGTGTTCAGTGAAAGTTAGCCATCGTCCCACCATTTTTTTATCTTGAGTTTGATGCCAGAAGTAACAACTTTTGTGCATTAGTTTATTAACTAAAAATAACATTTTTGAAAAGTGTGCTACTATCTCCCTATGCAAGAGAAAACATTATCTATACATAGTCTATATAAGTTTTGTCACTAAACCACTTTGAAAGAACAAAAGGAAGTATCTTCTTCCCTGTTTTATTGGCTGCCTCAATAAAATGCATGTCCAGAGACAAAGTCCAAACAAGCAAAGTGTACACACAAAATCAGGCCCCTGGAAAAGGTATGTTTGATCACATGCGATTAGGAGAAGTCCTCATCATGAATCTCAGGAATTACCTCCTTCAGTTGTGCTGGCCAGAATCCAAGGGCTCACTGCAGACCAGCCTATTTCATTCACACAGGACACGCCAATGCTGTAATTAGCCAGGGCATGCAGCTGCTCGATTTGATACAGATGTGGTGAAGCAGAGGTGTTAAAAACCATGACTGAGCCATTACTCAGTGGGTCAACTTCCTTGACCTAAATGAAGAGTAAAGATGTGGACCAGCATTATTAGTAAGGTGGTGGGAATGTCAGACAAGGACACGCAAACGTTGGGTGCACGTGGCCCTTCCTGTGCCCAGGGGAAGGACCTGCTTCCGTTCAGGACACAACAGTTTTCCCATTGGCATTCCTGTGTGTTACTCATGCCACCTGGGAAACAACTGAGGACCTCAGGACAATGGCTAGACTAAGGATTTTCACTGTGATGGGTAACAGGCAAATTACCTTGCAAAATTATATGATTATAGCTCATCATATACTAGAAAACAAAGTAGCATCTCTTCTCTCAGACTCACCTCTACTCTTTATGTTTTTCTTTTAGTTTTTCATAGCATATGCAACAGAAACAAGAGATAATGTCTGCAGCTAGCACAGCCTAAAATATTTAGTACTTGGTCCTTTAAAGACCATTATTTTCCAAATCTTGTTTCAGAAGATGGATTTCTTGGCTTTGTTCTTTGTAGCATGCTTTGTTTTGGCAGTACTGAGGATTGAACCCAGGGCCCTGTGCATGCTAAGGAAATTCTCTATCATGGAACTATATCCCAGTCCATTTTATTTTCTATTTTAAGACAGGGTCTTGTTAAATTGCCTAAGCTGCAGTCGTCCTCCTGCCTCAGTTTCCTGAGTGGGGGGGATAACAAGTAGACTGGGATTATGGGCCACCAGGCTCAGCAAAAATGTGTATTCTTTTCATTCTGTAGGCTGAGGGCCCCTGCTCTTGCCTTGAGGCTAGTTGTACCAGTGTGTGCTTTACTCCTACTGCTTCTGCTCCATGGAAATTCCACTCCCAAAGCACACTCAGATAGTGTAAAGTTTACGGCATTTTGGGGGGCAAAGGGAGATAGAAGAAAGGGTTGTTTGTATCTCACCCAAATCTACTTTAAATGTGTATTTTCTCATCTTTCCCTCTGTAAACTCCACAAATCTCTTTACAATTCTCTCCAAATCCCTGTACGAATAACAAGAGAGGGGAATCCACAGCTAGATCCTAGCCCTTTTATCCTTAAGCACACCTTCTATTTGAGAGTGGGGTTATGAGACAGACGGTCTTTCCCCTCTACGTGTCTTTTTGAAAATTTCTACAATATATAGAACTTAGAGATTCAGAAAAGACAGAATACTTTTGGGTAAAACAGAAGCAACCAAAAACAATTTGAGAAAAAAAAAAAACTTCAATCCACAAAATGAATTCCCCTAAATAATGAGTGTGCAGTGATGGGCGTGGTTTTACAATGTTGTTATTTCAGGATGTGACTGAAATTTAGGGCCAGAGGCCATAAATAAACATTCTAGAATTCCAAATTCCCTGGAGGCTACCATGAGGGTGGTGTGAGTGCCGAGTTCCACCTCTGAGTCAGACCCTGTGGGTGACAGGAAGGTACCCGTTGGCTTGAGCAGAGGAGAAACAAGGACTGTGTGCTTATCTTGGGGGTGGCCATTGGCAGAAATTACTTTTTGTTCTTTCATGTTAGAGTATGTACCTACTTCCTGGTGACCAACTGCTAAAACTAAGGTGGAGGAAACCTTTGGCTGTCTGCTCCCCTCCCATTTCCGGAGTCACATGTGGAGCTTTTCCAGGCACAGTGACAATCTGAATGAACGATCCTGGAAGAAGACTGGGTTTCCATAATAGTCCTTCTCTGTGGACCCCAGGGAAAAAGAGGGCACAAAATGGCAAGAAATATGTGACAGAGTTTAAAATAGAAATGAAGTATGTAGCCCAAAAATGGGTGAAAAAAGGAACCAACGTTAGGACCAAAGGAAGCGAGTGGGTGTGTCCTGCTAGTGCGTGGGTCTGAATCTCATCCAAAACATTCATTTGCTACCAAGTCAAATTTAAAATTGTAATGGACAAAAAAACCATACTTGGTTCCTTCAGGAATGGGAATTCAATCAATGGAATTAAAAGTATAACTTCTAAGAGCCCATGCCAACTAACCCTGGCAGGACTGCAGAGAAAATAAAAGATACTCGGTTAAATATGAATTTCAGCGTAAGTAAATCACAAGATTACTTGTGTAATTTAACTGGGTATCCTGAACTCTTTTTTTGTGGTACTGGGGTTTGAACTCGGGGCCTCATGCTTGCTAGGCAGGTCCTCTACCACTTGAGTCACTTTACCAACCCTTGTTTGTGTTGGATATTTTTGAGGTAGGGTCTCTGGAACTATTTGCCCGGGCTGGCTGCAAACCACTATCTTCCCAAGTAACTAGGATTACAGGCATGAGCCATGGGTGCCCGGCTCTGAATTCTTTACTACTCTAGCAGTCCTACCAGAGCTGGGAAGGAGAATGGATGAGCTAGCAGCAAGTGGTGGTGGCAGGCAGTAAGTGGTAGCAGCAGGTGGTGGTGATGACAATGGTGGCAGTGGCATTTTTTCTCAGTCTCCCTGAAGTTAACCACCCTCTGGAGAGAAGGTATCTCATGCTTTCTTAGACTCCTCAACAGCTCAGTGACTTTGTGGCATTTTTAAAAAGGGCTACTTTGTGCTCCAGTTATGTACATATAAAATGTCTACTGCCGGGCCCTGATTGTTTCAACAGAGCCCTGAAAGAACATGAAGCAAAACCCAAAAGAAGCCAGGCATGGTAGTACATACCTGTAATCCTAGCACTTAGGAAGTAGAGGCAGGAGGATAACGAGTTTGAAGCCAGCATGGGCTACAATGCAAGATCCTTTCTTAAAAACAAAAACAGCAACAATAAAACAACCTGATAGAGCTAAAGGGAGAACTAAAGAGAGAATTCAAAAATAAGAGCTGACCCCTCAATTCTCCATTTCCAATTATAGTTAGAATCACTAGGCAGATCAACAAGGGAACAGAAGACAGAGCAATACTGTAAAGCAAGTAGAGCTAACTGACATATATAGAACACTCCACCTGATGGACCAAATAGACCTTCTTCTTAGTGCATGAGAGATAGTCCCCAGCTAGCATGTAAGATATGATATAAAAAGCCTTAATAAATTAAAAATGACTGAAATCACCTAAGTACATTCTCCAAACATAGTGGAACAACATTAGAAATCAACAAAGGAAGAAAGTTTAAAAAATTTATAACTGTGGAAGTTAAACAACACATTCTTATATCATCAGGAGGACATAAGAAGAACTCACAAGGAAAAAGGCCAAACCATTCCCCACAAAACAAGAACCTTGAAATGAATGAAAACACAGCAAAACAAAACCTTATGGGATATAACGAAAGCAGTGCTTAGAGGGAAATGTATAGAGTAAATGTCTGTGTTAAAAAAAAAAAAGGAAAAATTTTAAATAATAACCTAACCTCTCCCATAGGAAAGTAAGACATGAAGACCAAACTTGGCCAAAGCAAACAGAAGAAAAGAAAGACAAAAGCAGAAATAAATAAAATAGAAAAAATTCACAAGATCAATAAAACTGGCAAATCTTTACCTAGAATGATCAAGAAAAATAAAGAGAGAAGACACAAATTTTTAAAATCAGGAATGAGGGTTTGAAGGACCAGGACCAGAGGGCTTTGCTGATGAATTCTATTAAATATTTAAAGAAGAATTAACATCCACCTTTCACAATTGCCCCCAAGAAACAGAAAAAGAAGGAATACTTTCCAACTCAATATCTATCTAAAGCCAGTAGTACACTGCTACCCAAACCAGAGAAAGCCATCACAAGGAAACCATCAAGGAGGAAAAACCATCACAAGGAAACCATCACAAGGAAACCATCACAAGGAAACCATCACAAGGAAAGCCATCACAAGGAAAGATATTGATGTGTACATCAATATCTCTTATGAATACAGACACAATTAGATATGATGGCTGTACAACTCTGTGAATATAATAAAAACCACTTAATCATGTACTTTAAATAGCAAATGTTAAAGGAGATGAAATGTATTTTTTTTAAAAAGTGTTTAAAGCTGGCTGTGGTGGTTCACACCTGTAATCCCAGCTACAGTGGGAGGCACAGGTAGGAGGATCATGGGCCTAGGTCAGTCAGGACAAGAAGAGTCACAAGACTCGATATGAAAAATAACTGGAATGAAAAGGCATAGGGACAAGGCCCAAGTGCTAGAGCACTTGCCTCTCAAGCTCAAGGCCCTGAGTTCAAACTCTAATACCGCCAACATTTTTTTAAAGTGTTTTCAAAAAGGAGGGTGTATCCCTGGTGAGGAATTGTAGACATAAAAAGAATTCCTAATACTTACCAGTACTCAGGAGGTTTTCACATAAAGTCGGGCAAGAATTCAGTACGGCTGGGGGTGGTAGGGTGAGGGTAGAGGCTATTTTTAGGGATAATGCATGGTTTTATTCCTCAGGGAAGGAACAGCTGTTAAGACAGGAGTAGGAGGCACCAGAACTGACAAACTAATTTCAGTTGGTATTAAAAACATCTTGTCAATGCAAAATTCTTTGGAAGTCACTTCTCTAAGCCTTGTTGGCATTAGTAGCCTGTGTTGGGTTAACATGTTTTTAATGATTAAGACCAGACATTTAGGAAACTAAGAATAATTCCTCTCCCTACTGTATGATGAGTACAAGGCAGAACATACTCATATTGTCAGCAGATAATCCCTGGGTGATTGACCTCACGACATGTCTGTCCTGATTGTGGAGCACAAGGCTCTGCTACTGGCATCGGATCTCCCAGGGCTTGAAGTCCAGTCTTGTCACTCATAGGCTGAGCTAGCACTCTGAGCCTGCAAGGCTGGTATGTTTTAAGTAAGACGTAGATAACATCCCTGGGCCACTGTGGACACTCAATAAACACTAGCGTTATTGCCGCCATTTTTAATTTTTATGAAAGGAAGACTCAAGAGCAAAGTTTACATCATGACAAGGATCATCTTAGGATACTGAGTAACCTATATTTCTTTCACTTCTGTTTCATACCAATATTAGCTAGTGGTTAAAAATGGCTGAAGACTCTACAAGGCTTATAACCCCCAGGTTTCCTGGGGAGACCCTGGGTAATGTGTCACATTTAAAAGCACAGATGACGTGTATCTTGTGTGGGGCTGTTGGGGTACCAGCCAAGGAGGAGCCACGCTGGGGAGTGTCTGGCTTCCTGAACTCTTGGTCAGGGATGGGTTCAGGGATGGGTTTTTGAAGTAACAATTGACTCTCCTTGGTCTCATGATATGCTCCTCTGGAAGCATGTTTCTCTTCCAGCTGGGTCCTGGACCATGCAATGGGAAAGAAGCAGCATCATGGACAGAGCACCACAAAGCAGTGCATGATGGTGGACCTTGAGCAGGGGAAGGCAAGGGGTTCTGCACAGAAGAGGAGAAATGCCCTTAGGACTGTCCTTTGGAGGAAGACAGCTCTGGTAGTTTCACAGAGTACCATTTCACTACTTCCCTCTTCACCCTGGAGGTTTACCTGAATGCTGCAATTCCTGAGTGGCGTGTATCCATCAAAACCTGGGATCCAGGAGATCAGAATACTGTGTGCTGTACTGTTGCAGATGCGGACTTCAGTTGGTGGGGAGGGAATTGCTACATAAACACAAAGACACACAGGCACAAACTCAATTATAAACCACAGGAGGCCATGGCTACTAGCAATTGTATTAAGTACCACACCTGTTTTCATACCCTGTAGACATAGTCATAGCTTTCATTACCCTTTTGAGGTTAGCAAAAGGGCTCACATATTTTCATGCTAGGCTTGAGGGTAATGGTACTAGCCTATGAGAATCTTCTAGTCATGAGATTGTTCTGCCTGGGCTGAGAAGAGAAACACAGACTTACGTTCCTGCTCTCTGATGAAGTGAGCACACATTTTAACTAGAAAAACATGTGGAATATACGGTGTCCTTTACCAAGTGAATAGTCTTGATTTTCACGTGTGCTGCCACTCAGTTGGGCAGATATGAGTGCCCTGTGTCCAGGAGAGAGGATGTCACTGGAATGTGCAGGGGAGAAACTTTTCAAGCTCAGAAAACAATGAGACTCAGTTAAATCAACAGCCAATTCCATCTGCTGGAGGAGGGGTGTGTGTACAATAATGAGTACGCAATGACCTCAGTCATGTGTGGGACAAGGACAGCTACTTCACTTAGGATACAAGAAGGCTCTGAAGTTTGGGGAGTCTTATCTCTCTGAACTAAATTTAATTGTTCATAATAATTATAATATGAACCAATGGTTGGCATTTTGTGTGCTTACCATGGGCCTTCATTTAATCATTACTAGAAAGCCTTATCCAAGAGGTAGTCTTACAATCCCTATTTATAGATGAGAAAACTGAACAGAAGTTAAAAACTCATCAAAGGTCAGAGAGGTTATAAACAACAGAACAGAGGCTTAAACTCAGGTCCTCCTGACTGCAGAGTTTGTGTCCTTCACTAGGACAATTGGTGGCCTATTGTGAGGGACACCAAGCTGACTAGTGTGAATATTTGATCTACAATGTAACCAGCCCAGGCCCCTGAGCCGAGTTATGTCTGCTCTAAACACAGTTCCCTCTTCTATAAGTGGGGACAATAGTAACAGTGCTCTGTGGGACTGTGGTGAAAAATAAATGAGGTAATATGGTATGTGACTGGGCTACGTGTGGTAGTGAAGGTGAAAACAGAGGGAACAACAGGTATGGGGCAGGGAGAGGGGCTGGGGCCACATTAAATGTGCACTGGTCCCACATTCAAGAGTTTCAGATTTACTAGCAGACATTGCTTGGTGAGTGGGGAACAATCAGTATATTGTTTGACTCACTTCCCTCAGCAGATTATTTGTGGAACCACCCTAAAGAATCTGCCTTTCCCAGATCAAAATCTCACTACACACACATCACAGTAATAACAGTTTAGAGGAAGGGAGTCCTGGTTGCTCTGATAAACTTTAAAATAGGTGGAAGTCAAAACCACAAATTTTAGAAACAGGATTTACTGGTTTTTTTAAAAATCTTAACTGAGATCCTATGTGAGGCAGAATATTAAATGTTTTCATTTTATACATTTTTAAATTTTAAGAGGTTTATACTCTAGGGAAAGGTTTTACAAATCTACGCCCACTCATGAATTTCTGAAATTCCCAACATGTCTTTAGAAAATTGTAATAAGGGTATTTGTTAAAAAAAAAAAAAAAAAAAGGAAGGAAGTTATACACTTCCTCCAGTATTCACTTTTGGTTTGCTCATTTAAAAAAAATTCCAATGAACTTTTAGAAAATACACTTTCATAGTCTTCATCCAGTTGATTTGCTGAAACTAAAATCAGTACATTTTCTGCTTAAAACTTTTATAGTTTTGCGTTCCCTTTGATTGTATTCAGTCTTTAACTCATATTAACCATGTTCTGCTTCTCCCTTGCATTGTTTGCTTCCCCAAGGATAAGATGAAGAGAAAAGGCAATATTTATTTCTTGATATCTAAATTAAGATCAAATAGTAAAACATAAAACGTGCTTAAATTTGTATGGCAGCAAGGAAAATGATATGAAAAGAGATAAGAAGACAGTATTTTCTTGTAGCTTTCTTTTTCTGTCAAGTTTTGGGTTTAATTACCTTTGATTACACAGGAGGAGGAAGAGGAGGAGGAGGAGGAGGACAAGGCACATGTATTGGAATGTCTTCAGTAGCCTGAGGCCACACATGCCTTTGACTCAGTTACTATAATTCACTACCAAGTAAGCTCAGCCCTAGTGGAATCCAAGCTCAGAGGAAGCAAGAGAAAGAAGAAGAAGAAGAAGAGAAAGGTGATAGGAGTTTCTCCCCAGATCCCAGAAGAAGGAATCTGACCTGCCCTCTACTCCTTGCTCCCTCCCTCTAAGTCAACAGCTGGCAGAGACTTGGGTCAGGCCTAGGAGACCCAGGAAGGACAGAGCACATCCCCTAGAGCAAAGCTCCAAGTAACCCCATCCTCAGGGCTCTTCAAGGGTTATTGAGGACTAGTATAAGGTGGAAGCAGAAAAGGTAAAAATGGGAGCAAATATGATCAAAGGCAAACATTTTAGCTTATTTTCTTCTTGGACTATGCAGAACTAATCTAGCTGATATTTATCAAAGACTTGTATGTTGGGCTCTGTTTTTTAGTGCTTTACTCAAATTAAATCATTAAGCCTCAACAATAGTGAGGGTTTATACTTATCCCCATTTCTCAGAGGGGAGCTGTGAAACTCAAGAGGTGAAGGGACTTGTCCAAGGTCACAAAGAAATTCAATGGGAAAGCTAGGACTCAAAACCAGGCAAGTTGGCTGCAAGTGCTTGCCTTGTGAGTTCCATTAGCCCCAGGACACACTTGAGGGACCAGCCTTGCTGCTTACCTTTGATGTTGATCTGCACGCCCTTGGACACAGTGAGCCCTTTGTCATTGTGGGCCTCACAGCTGAAGACCGCCATCTCTGTCAGACCTGTAGTGGAAGGACACCTGTGAGACCTGCAGCAGAGAAACAGGCTGCTCCTTACCAGAACCTGTGGTTTTAGCTTACTTTTATTTCTTGGTTTATGGCTTCAAGCCAAAAGTGTAAAATTAATTTAAAAGGTATACAAGGTACCAAAAAAAAAAAAGAAAAAAGAAAGAAAGAAAAAACTGGAATGAAACATTAGGTACTAAGAGTAAGACAGCCTTGGGCCCAGAAGGCAGCTGTTTTCATTCATTCAGATCTTGAATGCTGAGACATTAGGTAATAAAGCAGTATCATTTAGACCTTTAAATTACTCCAAGGAGAAATGGGACCCACTGGTCCCAACACCAAGAAAAGTGGTTCTGAGATTCATTCAACTCCCTGTTACTTAGATTCCCAAAACACACTATGTCACTATGCTATGGTCATCTCAGAATGCCAGAAAGATGATTCCAGAAGGATGGGGCAAGAGCCACAGGCTTTTAAATTTTCAGATGATTTGTTGGGATGGATCCTTTTTTAATAATAAAAGTTGATTGATTCACAAGGAATGATATAAACAAGACTGATGAGAAACGCTAGTATTAAATGAGGAAAAATTTTTTTATTATTTCAGAGGTTTGGAGCTATCTTAGAAATAAAAAGAAATAGAATCATTAATTTTAAATAGAAAGGTTGGTTACCCAGATCTTGCTTTCTAAAACCATTCTTCAATAAAAAGAACCAGGGCTCCTTGGAGAAATGGCTGGCTCTCATTCAAGGCAGGAAAGACATGAGTTGAACATGGTGTGGAGTATAACACAAACACAAACACAACACGCAACACTGTGGGGCATGTCAAAGAGACCCAGGAGCCTCTAAAAAGTTCCCAATGGCCAAAGCTGAAATGACTTGAGTAAGAAAGTAAAGTAGCACTGAATTATAATCCAAAGTATGGAATAAACATCTAAGGGTCTATACAGATAAGAATCAATGATTATCGAAATAGGGGAGACTAGACAAACCTCCCATGAAGAACTTCAATAGTCTATGTGGAAACACCTTCCTCCAGGAAGTGGAGCAAAACTCCCCATCCCTTAAGTGTGGGCTGTGCACAGTGATGTCCTTCCAAAGAATACAGTAGGGAAAGGGGAGAAGAAGGAAAACTTCCAAATGGAGAAACTGACAAACACTGCCTCAGTCATGTGACCAACATTCATGTTAACGCTGACGGTCATGTGACAGAATGCACCTTAGGTATACTACAGTGAGAATGACATTTCTTCTCGTGGTTTTTTTTGTTTTTTTGGTGGAACTGGTTTGGACTCAGGGCCTATACCTTGAGCTACTTCACCAGCCCTTCTTTGTGATGGGATTTTTGGAGATAGGGTCTCTCAAATTATTTGCCTGGGCTGGCTTCAAACATGATCCTCCTGATCTCTTCCTCTTGGTGGTTAGGATTATAGGCATGAGCTACCAGCACGTGCTGATATTTCTTCTCTATGGTCTTCCACTTGAAACAAAACAAAAACCCCAGTCTAATCATAAGGAAAGTATCAGATAGGTCCAAGTTGTGGGACACTGTACAAAACACCTGTCCAGTAATCCTCAAAATTATCAAGATCAATAAAAAGAAGGAAAGTTTGAAAAATTGTCACAACCAAGAGGAACCTAAAGAGCCAAAGAAGCTGGGTGCTGGTGTCTCATGCCTGTAATCCTAGCTACTCAGGAGGCAGAGATCAGGAGGATCTCGGTTCAAGGCCAGCAGGGGCAAATAGTTCTCAAGACTCTATCTCAAAAACACTCAACACAAAAAAGGGCTAGTGGAGTGGGTTATGTGGTAGAGTGTACTGCCTAGCAAACATGAGTTCAAACCCTAGTACTGCCCACCCCCAAAAGGAGACACAGATGACTATGTGGAGTGTGGTATCCAGGATGGAGTTCTGGGGCAGAAAAAGGCCAGGAGACAAAAACTAAGAAAACCTGAGCTTTAGCTAATAATAATGTACTAGAATTGGTACAACAATCCTAACAAATGTTCCACACTAATGTAATATGTTAATAACTAAGGAAAGTGGAGGTGGGTTTGTAGAGATTCCTTGAACCATCTCCACAGTTTTTTTTGTGAATCTCAACTGTTCTAAAATTTAAGAGATATTTAAAACACACACACACACACACACACACACACACACACACACACACACACAGAAGTAGATACACTATTTAGTTGAATCTATAAATTTCTATATCTCTGGCAAACAAAAGCATCATGTATCATTAACTAAAACAGACAAAATATTTGAAAATATACCATTTCCCTCTTAGCTGAAAAGTTTTCTTTTTTTTTTTTCTGCTTGTCTACTTCTGTAGGGAATTTTCCATCTGTTAGTTTAAAATTCATAGCTTGTCACTAATGGAGTGATTAAATATTTGAAAAATGAAGGGGAAAAATGGCCACAGGAGATGCAGCAGGCTTAAGCCCTGAAAGGCTGTTCCACATTGCATGCTGCCTGGCTTCTGCTGTGTCAGGGCTGGGGCCATGGAGTTACTACATGGCAGAGAATTGTGTCTGGGAGAAGTGGTAAGAAAAAAAACTGCAAATCAGATGTCTTTTACATCAGTACTTCTCCTGAGGGGTTTGATGTGTACACAAAAAAATCATGCTGGTAAGTTTCTGTTATTTTCCACTCAAAAGGCTCTTACTGATATCCGAGCTCTCCTAACGACACAGGGCCCCTAGAGGGAAAAACAGACCTATGCATCTCTGTCCTGTGAGTCTGTGGTGACCTCTCCTTTCCTTAAAAACATTATGCTGAGAATGTGACAGATACTTTGTGGTATTTTAATTTTCCAAGATGAGAAGTACCTCCCTCAGACTGGAGGGAGATCCTACACTGGATTGCTTAATTAAATTCTCTTGACAATTTAAAGTGCTAAGAAACTAAAATTTCAGGTAGAGGCCACATCTTTTCATATTTTGATCATTTCCTCTCAAGTGAGAGATAAAAACTGCTTCTAGTTTACATGCGGACTTAAGAAAATATTTATTTCAGTGGAGAGGACATCTGAATCTATCCAAGAACACTTGCATATGCTGCCTCAGGGGTCTTTATATTTCCTGTTTGTGTTCTTTCCAAAGATTTGTGTAATCCAAAGATTTCCAAAGATAGATGTAGTCTCTTGGACATTTCAAGGTTTACATCCTAAAATTTTTCATAATTTAAAGCTGCAAAGAATGTAATTTGAAGTACCCTGAATATCTTGACACTAACATTACCCAGAGAAACCACCCTTCGGGAGTAGAAATTTTCCATTGTGAGCTCTCTCTCTCTCTCTCTCTCTCTCTCTCTCTCTCTCTCTCTCTCTTTCTCTTGCAGTACTGGAGTTTTGAATTCAGGGCCTTGCACTTGCCTGTATCACTTGAGCCATGCCTCTAGGCCTTCAATACTTCTTAACAACGAAAATAGACATATTCATTGAAACTGAAATTTTTTTTTCTTCTGGGTTGATTATACTTACAATTGTTATACAATTATCATACAACAGATTTTACAACTTAAAATAATGTAAGTAATTATTAAACACAGTGAGTACAATTTTATTGAAAGAGCAACTGCTTTGCTGGATAAAATCTGGAATTTTCTGTCGGTAATTATCTAGACCAGACAATGGAGCACAGCCAACTGTTCTCAAAATGTGTTCGAGAGACTCCTAGGAATCCCAGAGATCCTTCTAGGGGACCTCAAAGGGAATATTATTTTCATAATAATATGTCATTTATCCGTTCCACTCTCTATATCTTAGCAATGTACGGTGGAATTTTCCAGAAGTTGCATGTCCTGTGATGATGCCATATTCTATTAGCCAATGGAACATGTGCCTGTGTATTCTTGTGTTTTAAAATTTTTTCATTTTAGGGCTTGGGTTGTAGCTCAGTGGTAGAGCCCTTGCCTAGCATGCCTGAGGCCATGGGTTTGATCCCTAGTACTGAAAAAAAAGAAAGATTTTCATTTTAATTCACGACCCTCTTGCTAAGATAAAAGTAACCCACATAAACAAAAACTTTTGATTCTCAATAATTTTGAAGACTATAAAGGGATCAGGAGACTACACTACACTCATTTGAGAGCTGATATCCCACAGCTATTCCTCACAGGGGAAAGAGAAGTCTTTTACTTTTGTAAAGAGAGGGAGAGATAAGAAGAAAATGGGAGGTGGCAAAGAAGACTTAGCGTGGCCTCTGTTTTGGGGGCATTGGTCAGGCATTGATTTTATGAGAGAAGTAACATACAGGATGAGGAGCTAGACAGTGGCTCTTTTAAATCACAGTCTGGGACTTGCTCTGTGGATCCCCATGTCAGTTAGGCTTCGGCACTTTGGGTTTCATGCTGCAGTATAGCTTTTTACCTTCTAGGTCCTGAGCTCCCAAAGGAGATGCTCATCTGACCAGATCCCACAAACTTTGCAAAATTTGGCTCTCATTCAGAAGTCACTAACTACATTTTTGTATGTTGGAGGGGACATTTGCAGGTCAAAACCCATCATTTGACTTAAATTACATTTATCAAAACTCTTAGCAAACACCTGAGTACAAACTACACACTCACACCAAATTGGTCTTGAGGGGAAGGGCAGGCCCCATGGCAAATCAGGAGCTGGATTTCACTGAGCTCCATTACTTAGTTGCAGATCATGAAAATCCAGAAATGAACATTCAGAGGAAAATCCAGACCCACTAAGGGTTTATCAATGCTGAAAGTGAAACTGGTTATCATAAGACATGACTTTAGGTTAAGTGGGAAGTCATTTTTCCTTTCCGTGTTTCTTTTCAAAGGGTACAAAAGGTTAGGAAAACATTTTATAGCCAATGTCCTTGCATGAGACACCCACACAAACTCAGAATTGCCAAATGGCCTGTTAAAGCACTTCTCCATATTGTCAGGTAGTTGAGGCCCACAAGCCAAATGGATGCCAACACAGATCAATGGAAACCGATCGAAACCAAAGTCAACTTTCTCCAAAAC